CTGACCTCCCTACAGGATGGGTTGTTGTCTTAGTTAGGCTTCCTATTGCTTCGATAGAGCAAGTTGGGGAGGAAAGGGTCTATCAGGCTTACACTCCAGCATTGCTGTTTATCAGTGAAGGAAGTCAGGAACTCAAAACAGGATCCCAGAGACAGGAGCTGATGCAGAGGCCATAGTGGGGAGCTGCTTACTGGCTTGCTTCCCATGACTTGCTCAGCCTGCTTTCTTATAGAACCCAGAAGTCCATCCATGGCACCACCCACCATGGGCTGGGCGCTCCCCCATTGATCACTGATTGAGAAAACACCTTACCTCATGGAGGCATCTCCTCAGCTGAGGCTCCTTCCTCTGATGACTCTAGATTGTGTCAAGTTAACACAAAACTGTTGTACCCTTAAAAAACCCTTTCTTCCCATGTTGTTATTGGGTGGAGCATCTTTATCACAGCAACGGAATGTAAGTCAAATCTATTGTTTCAATAGTCTCTTGGCCAAAGGAAAGATAGACATGTTTTAGTCCAGTGTTTACACGAAAAACAATTAAGTTTTGTTATTCCAAGTAGAACGTTAGGGAAAAAAATTATATTGTTCTTTATTCCCCATTTTGTGTATGTAGAATAGACTTCACTCTTTAGAATTAACTGGGGGAAAATGTTTAAAAATTTTAAAGTACTTCCTCGTTCAGTGTCACAATACTGAAGACATCACCGACGCAATGTAAGATGTGGAGTTTTGGTTCCGTTTCTAAGGTAATAAGGAAAAATTGCTGACACTCTGACTTCACCATCATGAAGGAGTTCGTATGACAATAGCTGCTCAGAACTGCACATGGGAATGTGGGCCTTTGTGACAGGCAAGCCATACTGTCAGGTTGACTGGAATTAACGTCACCAGGACTCACACTCTCCCGGGTGTCTCTTTGAAGACATTTCTGGAGAGGGTTGACTTAGGAGGGAGGACCCACCATAAACGTGAGGGGTGTCACTCCTAATGAAAAAGGAGGCCAAAGGGAGAAACCGGAAAGGCCACCAGCATTTTGCCTCTGCTTCCTGTTCTGCCAAGACAAACTGTGAGGCAATATAAATTCTTTTTAGTTGTTTTGTCAAGTGTCTGTGGCCAGGACGGGAAAATAACCCTTATACGTGTGTAATCCAGAATAGGCACTCTGCAGGCTCAATGAAACAGGGAGGAACAGGCTTCACTAGCGACCAACTTTCTTCATAAATACTTGAGCCGTGTCCATATAAAGCAGCCTTGCTGTTAACAAAACCCAAAGATGCTGGTTGCTTTCAAGCAGAGAACACAGCCGTAAAATCATCCTCAGTAGGTAGGATGTGGAGAAACTGGAGGATGCCAGGTATCCCTTGAAGAGATCCCGAGGATATGACCACCTTCACCATGCTTAGCAACCAATGCCTCTTCCTCCTGGCCCCAAGAAAGGTATCCCGTGGCAGTAACCAGACCTTGAGTACTCTAGCTCAAGCAGCCTGATACTCTCTTGTAGCCTTCCTGGATTGTCCTTTGGTTTGCTTCTGAATAAAATGTCCTTGTCACTTTACAATCTATGTGCACATTAAGTCTCTGAATAAGATGCCAAGAACCTCGAAACACTTGATCCCCACAGTGACCCTGGTAACTCAGGGGCCTACCAGGAGGAGACAGGCTCTAGGATAAGCCCTTGTTGCAATTCTCACCTCCCTGAATTTCACAGCCCTTGGATGTTAACACCTCTTTTTTGTTTTGTTTTGTTTTCAGAGAAGGGAGTCTTGAGACAGTGTCTCACAGTGTAGTTTAGGGTAGCCTGAAACTCACCAAGTAGCCTGTGGTGGCCTCAAACATCCTAGAGACTTTATTGTAAACGCATTTTTAATACAACTTTCCTACTAGAATACAGAGAATAAAGGGGCAGAAACAGAAGGAATGAGGCACCCGTGACTATTAGCCCTTTATCTCTCTTCTTTACCGTTTCTAGAAACCAGGACCACTCATAACTAGCCAAGGGCCCTGCCGTGTTTCTCAGGAAGGCGGGGAATCAACATTTGACAAGCCGCTGATGTAGAGAAAGGCTGTAATGACTCAGGCAGTCAGGAAAGCGGGAGATTAAAAACACTCCTAGACTCCTCTTCTGAGACAAGTTGATGCCTTTGGTAACTGAGTTTCATCTTGATTATTATTGCCTGGTTGTCTGCAAAACTGACTATAAGAGCTTCAGCAGGTAAAACACAGGGGGATTTCAGACTCAGAAAAATAATATTTGTACCAAGTAGCCAGGAACACTTAAACTGTAAAAGGAATACACGAGACATTCCCAATTATAAAAACTAGCATAGCCATGGGAGTTTGGCTACAGTCCATTTTCATTATCATTTATTTTTTTTTTCTTCATACAGTAATTGGGTAGGAATATGCCTTATGGGCACAAGGAAGAAATTTCAATGAATAAGGATATAATAAAAAAATATGGATGCTCTGAGGGAACAGGAAGATTGAGTCAGGGAAAGAACAGAGGAGAACTAGAAAAGAGATACCATCATAGAGGGAGCCATTGCAGGGTTAAAGAGAAATCTGGCACTAGGGAAATGCCCAGAGACCTACAAGGATGACCCCAACTCACAATCTAAGCAATGGTAGAAAGGCTACCTTAAATGCCCTTCCCAATAATGAGATTGATGAACACCTTATATGCCATCCTAGAGCCTTCATCCAGTAGCTGATGGAAGCAGAAGCAGACACCCACAGCTAAACACTGAGCTGAACTCCTGGAATCCAGGTGCAGAGAGGGAGGAGTGATGAGCAAAGGGGTCAAGACCAGGCTGGAGAAACCCACAGAAACAGCTCATAGGGGTCTCATAGAGTCTAGAACGAAGGGGAGCTCGTAGAGTCCAGTCTGATAGCTGGGAAACCAGCATGGGACCCACCCAGATTCCCTGAACATGGTGTTTGTTAGTTAGGAGGACTGAGCAGTCTATGGGGCCTCTGGTAGTGGACCAGTATTTATCCCTAGTATACGAATAGACTTTAGGAGCCCATTCCACATAGAGGGATAGTCTCTTAGCCTAGACACTTGGGGGAGGGCCTGGGTGCTGCTCCAAATGATATGACAGACTTTTAAGATCCCCATGGAAGGCCTCACCCTCCCTGGGGAGCAGAAAGGGGATGGGGTGGGGGTTGGTGGGGGAAACGGGAGGAGGGGAGGGTGTGGGAACTGGGATTGACATGTAAAACAAGCTTGTTCCAAGTTTAAATTAAAAAAAAAATTATCACAAAAAGATGTGGATGCTCAACGGAGGCTGCTGTCAAATTAAAAATAAATCAGGGAAGTCGGGCGATTCGGAAGCCTGGTGAGAGTTCTCCGTCTTGGCAGACCCTCTGCTTTCTTTGTCTTGGACCACCAAGTGACGACAGCATGTTATTAGAGAAAAATGAGATGTTGAATGAAGTTATCAAAAGCGGGAAATGTAATAAAGTTACACACTTGGCGATCCTATTCTGAGAATTTTATTTTTAGCCTGACAAATGAATCAACACTCCTTGGTGATAGGGCTGGAAGGACCTTAGAAGTCACTTCCTTACTTGTCTGCCAACAGAGCCCTGAGAGGCCCGGTGGCCGCCTGAATCAGACAGAGACTTGGTGGCAGGAAGAATGGAAAACACTGAGTCCCCCAGGATGGACCTGGGTGCCCTTCCTCCCGAGCCTCAGGACGGACCTGGGTGCCGTTCCTCCCGAGCCTCAGGATGGACCTGGGTGCCGTTCCTCCCGAGCCCCAGGATGGACCTGGGTGCCGTTCCTCCCGAGCCTCAGGAAGGACCTGGGTGCCGTTCCTCCCGAGCCCCAGGACGGACCTGGGTGCCGTTCCTCCCGAGCCTCAGGACGGACCTGGGTGCCGTTCCTCCCGAGCCCCAGGACGGACCTGGGTGCCGTTCCTCCCGAGCCCCAGGACGGACCTGGGTGCCGTTCCTCCCGAGCCCCAGGACGGACCTGGGTGCCGTTCCTCCCGAGCCCCAGGACGGACCTGGGTGCCGTTCCTCCCGAGCCCCAGGACGGACCTGGGTGCCCTTCCTCCCGAGCCTCAGGAAGGACCTGGGTGCCGTTCCTCCCGATCCTCCCACCTGGCTTTCTTGTCAGGGCCTTCCACTAACCTGGGCTAAGTTCAAGCTGGCCAGCCAGCTCCAGAGCCATAGGAATCCCCATCTTGCAACGGTGCCGGCTCTCATACGTGGCTTCAGAGGGCCATCTGTTCATGTGCTGAGCCTCTCACCAGCACCGTAGAGCAGTTTGGTTTATCTTTGCTGTTGGAGGCCCTTAAACACAGAAGACATTAAAGGGAAATCCCATCAGATTTAACTTGGTGAATATTAATCACAGGCTGAGGCTATGCCTCCCTTGGTGAAGGACTTGGAATATAGTGAGGTTGTGACACAGGGGACCGTGTGAAGGGATGTCTGCTATTCTCCAGTTTCTCCCGTGCCCTACCCTACCGGGGAAGACTTTACGGCTGCCCTCTCTGCTTCCCCGTGGGTCTGCACATGTCCTAGTCCAGTACCAGCTGCATAGCTATCAGCAGAGGTCTGTGGTGTAAAGGACAGTCCCTGAAGAGAGCCACACCTTCTCCTACCCTTCTTCAAGGCTGACTAATGTATTCGTATTCGGATTGTGGTGCTGTGTAGGGGCTAGGGTGTCACAAGCTGGAGACAGGTTATTTCTCAACGTCTCCAGTCTCCTTGATGGTCCTCCTTTATGTTACATGGCATCTTTGCCACCACTGTGCAATTCCCTTGGAGTTCCAACCAACCAGAGGACCAAGAGTGCTGCTGGCTTCTGGGGCTTCTAGCAGACGTCCCTCCCACTTACTTCCCTGTAGTAAGCCCCTCCCACTTACTTCCCTGTAGTAAGCCCCTCCCACTTACTTCCCTGTAGTAAGCCTCTGTGGTGTTCCCATGAATGCATTTGAAAGGTGCTTTGGTCTTTGACTGCGTTCTGTTACTATAAACTTTTTAGCAGTGCCTACCTATCAGAGGAGATACCACGGTCAAGAAGGTGTTCACTTCCAGGGTGAGGCTCATCTGTTACACTCGGGAGGTGCTGACCTGTGATTTCTCCGAATGCGGGAAATTCGTCTGCATAATTTGTGGTAGTGGGAGGACTATATTTATGCTCTTCCCTGAAAAAAATAAAAACTTCAAGCTGTGTCAAGCTGTTACCACACTGGGACAAAGAATTTGAGATAACAGAAATCAGCGTTTCTAGGCTATGGTCTGTGGCTCCAGAGCAAACTCTCTTTGGGGGTGAGAGTTTCTTCCACAATGAAGATAGAGAGAAAGGGGCCCAGAGGCCAGGACAGGCTTCTTCAGGACGGCTGTGCATTGAGAAGTTGGGGGAGTGATTATAGCGAGGTCCATAGTGTCCAGGGGACCAGGGTACGTCACTGTGGTATTGCACACTGAGCATATGTGTAGAGGATATGGATAGTGGGTATTGGTAATCCTCTAAATGACCATGCCGGCTGCCGGAGACGATAGGCACAGGGCAAGCAGAAACCCAGGAGAATGCTTCCTTTAGGTGAACAATGGGTGAACCTCGTGGAGGTGGCTTGAGTGGTACCAAAGGCCGTGACTGTAGTGTAAGCCTCTGGGCTCCACTGAGGGAGGTGAGGAAAAGCAACTGCAATTGACACAACACTTTCATCCTAGCTGCTGAGGCTGGGATTGTCTGTAGCGTGGAGGCTGCTGACACACACAAGCTGCTCCCTGTGCATGGTAAGCCCGCAGGTCCAAGGGGTTAGGCAAATACGGGCATCGCTGACTCCAGGAGAAGACCCATTTAGAGTGGCAGGTCACCCGAGTCAACCCCTGGGGTTGGTCAGAGGGGTGCAGGCTGAGAGGCCTCTACAGCGTGGAGGGTGGAGGACACAGGAGGCTCAGGCTGTAGTTTGTGGCAGCATGAGGTCAGCGTTTCAGAAAGAAAGCTGTGGCAGGAGCTAAGGCAATGCTGAGGCCAAGAAGTGGCCATTGGTATCACAAACTCAGATACCAGAAATTGGCCTTCAGTGCAAGTGAGAACTACACCATGGGTCTGGTGGCCAAACCCTGGCTGGCTAAGGATATCTATCTATCTATCTATCTATCTATCTATCTATCTATCTATCTATCTATCCTTTCTCAATGTATGGTAAAACCAAAAGAAGATTTTGTTTTTGCATGTGTATGTGCCTATGTTGTGTATGCATGTGTAGGGATGCACATGTGTGTGTATGCACACATGTATGTAGAAGCCAGAGGCTGGGATTAAGTCAGTGGTATTTTTCCCACATAGGGGTCTTTCGCTGACCCGAGCTCACTGATTCCACCAGTAGCTGTCCTAAGGAGACCTCATCTCTGCCTCCCAAGTGCTGGAATTACAGGAAGGCGATCATGCCAACCGGGCTCTTTTTTATCTGGATGATGGGATTTGAACTGTGGTCCTCACACTTGTATGGCATACACTTCATCCACTGAGCTATCTCCCCTGCCTTAAAGGAAGATTTTGCAATATGAAACTCCTACAGGATTATGACACATCCCAAGGTAATATGCTAATTTAAAGAGAGTGTGAACAATGCTTGTTGCTGGTCCCTCATTCTGAGTTTGTTACATATCTGAATCTGTAAAGAGTCAATGGAGATGTCTTTTCCCCCCATTTAAGCCTCATCACGAGAGTTCGGGGCTCCTCACCTTTGTCCACGTTCTTGTTCACCTTTGTCCACGTTCTTGTTCTTCATCAACACTGGTCAGGTGCTGGGTTGTTAGCAGCGAGGTAGCCATACCCTGCTGAGATTCAGCTCAGATCTGTTTTGGATTCTTTCTTTCTTTGATGCAGTGTTGTGAACCCTGGAGTTGTTGGGCTGGTCTAGCTGCCTCGAGAGGCATGCATCATAGTCATAGGTCTCTTCTGGTTGGAGTCTTTGGCTCCTGGGTTGCCATGCGTACCTTTCAGTTCCTGAGAAACCCAGGCAGTGAAACCAGTCAGACCACTGATGCTCTCTGTGTTTCCTAGAAGCTAATGAAGCATATAGAAGCTTGGCAGAACAATTAGTCTCAGACATTAATCTTGTATACCCTGTAGAGTTTGCAAATGTTATTGTATCCTGGAAACTGCCATTGTGCTCTCTTTCTGATAAGGGTGAAAAGGTCTGATTGCTTGCAATACATGCTCTCAAGCTCCATCTTGCTGTGCCATCTCCGTCATGGCCTGGATTTCATTCCCACTGACGTTAATCATATAACCCCATCTTGGTAAGTGTTGGCACAATACAGGGTCTCTTGTATCCTAGGTTGGCCTTGAACTCATTGTGTAGCTAAGGGTGGCCTTGAATTCCTCATCCCCCTGCCTCTGCCTCCCTAATGTGTGTTTATAGGTATGCATTGTCTCCTCTTCTGCCCTTGTGACAAGCACTGTCCAAAGCAACTTTGGGAGGAAAGTGCTTATTCCAGTTTACAGGTCCCAGTCCAATGTCCTGGGAAGACAAGGCAGGGGCTCAGAAATCTGGAGGCGGTGACTGAGTCAGAGACCATAGAGCACTGCTTCTCAGTCTTCCAAAGGTTGCCACTCTTTGATACCGTTCCTCGTGGCGACTCCCAACCATGACATTATTTTCATTGCTAATTCACAACTGTAATTTCGCTACTGTTATGAACGGCAATGTAAATATCCCTGTTTTCCAATGGTGTCAGACAACTCCTGTGAAAGGGGTCACAACCCACAGGTTGGGAACTGCTGAATATGCGAATGGATTGGCTTCTCTGGCTTGCACAGCTAGCTTTCTCACACAGTTTAAGCCTGCATGGCCAGGGACAGCACCACCTGCTGTGGGCTGCACCCTCCTGCATCAAGAGCAATGAAGAAACCGCCTCATAGAAATGCATGCAGGCCAGCCTGATGGAGGCCAATCCTCATTTGCCTGTCCTCCCTTTCAGGTGTGCCAAATTGCCAGCCAAGATCAGTCATTGCAAGGTTGGTCACCGTGCGTGGTGTAAGTCAAACCCAGGGCTTTGCCAGAGCCAGGAAAACCCTGTATCAGCTGAGCTGCATCTCCAGTCCCAAAGATCAGTGTGTGCTCATGGTACTGAGGGGAAGCAGGATGAGTGTGCTCATAGAAAGGCCAAGGAGACAGAAATACAAAACCCTGGAAGCAAGCTGCTGCTCTTGTCCTCCTCCTCCTTTCTGCCCTCCCTCTCTCCCTCCCTCCCTCTCTCCCTCTCTCCCTCCCTCTCTCTCATGCCACCCCAGCCCCCCTGCCCCATCTTATCCCCCCTCCTATTAGCAGAAAGAGCACAGGGGCTTCCAATCCTGGGTCCCGCAGACTAGCTGCTGTGTGCGCTTTTCTGCAATGCTGTCTGTTGCTGGCAGCGCCCGATGCTCAATGTCGGCACACATTGCAACATCATCACCTGAAAAGCAGACCTTAATTAGACAGTGCAGACTACAGACTGGCAGTGTGCCATTTAAACCAGCACAGAGTAAACTACAAGAATGAGAGCCAGGGCAGCTTGGGCTCATTCGAAACGGTTCAGGCCACAGCTGCTGTTTGCTGCAGCTGCATTTGGAGACTGTGCGTCATGATATGATGAGGAACTAGCCTTGCTAACTGGTTTTTTTTTTTGACTCGTAGCTCGCCCCTTGTGAAGTGGAACAAATATATTGGCTGTAACAGTAGGTAGGAGCAGGAGCTGAAAATCCTCCCCAGAGACCAGATAAAACCAGACCAATGAGTGGTACCCTGACTGCAGGCTGCCTTCCTGCAGGGCCCAGGGCAGACCCAGGAGGATGAGCACAGGAGAGTAAAGTAAGAGGCTTTCTGGCACAGCAGGGAAGGTATGCAGAAGGGTCCCCTCACCTCAAGTGGGAGTATCTCAGGTCACAGGGATGGAAAAAAGCGGCCCAGAAAGAGGGTACTTTAATAAATACGTACTGGGTTTTTTTTTTTTTTTTTCCGAAGAGAAGACTGTATGATTGGGGTTCTGTTAATAACAACAATTTACTGCTGAGGCTGTCACCCATGGTGTCACCCATTCACAGCTAAGCCGTACCAATGGGCAATCGTAAGAAAGAACTTGGTTACCACCATCACCCTGGAGAAAGCTGTCAGTTAAAAAAACCAATTCTTCCATAGAAAATACTTAGCCATTAAAATGAACAAAACAAACAAAACAGTCCCGTTGCCCAAGTACCTTGAGTTTGAATAGGCAAGGGAAGCAGAGCAGTTTTTATGGAAACAGTCTTTGTGGCATAGAGCCTGCAATTAAAGAGACAAAGACAGTTCGCAGAATAGTGCATTAGAGACGATGATTAAAATTCCAAGCGTTATCCTCAGTAACCCCTGCTGAGTGTCAGAGAAGCCATCAATGGAGAGCATGAGGAGAAGAGATGCCCACAGGCAACACCCAAAACAGAGTGAGGCTCAGATCCAGGGCACTCTCTCTGCCCAGGGGTAAGGCACTTTCCAAATGCTTGGGGGAGAAATCCCGAGAAGACTTCTGCAACATGATCATCATAGGATTTCAGGGGTTCTGGTCCCACGTGAGATGTTGCTGTCACACGGTCAGTGTCTTACCCTTGCTAGAGGGGTCTCCACACACTCCTATTTTGGATTTTCCCCAACAATGTGACCACCCAGTTTATTATGGATGTCTTTGAAAGCTACAGCCTTCCTCTGCTCTTGAGTGGGGTTCAGCTTAGGACCTAGGGTGCAGGAAGGTTCTGGTCACACAACATTTATACTCAGTGTCCACCAGGTTCTTACCTCATGACTTTAAAGAGTTCAATGTGTGGACCACGGAGGATGAGCTGTTACAGAGAATAGCTGTTGCAGACTCATAGCTGGGCACTTAAGAGACAGGGAGAAGGGAAAGCCCCTTTGAAGAGGGACCCGGAGCAAAAACTGGGGGCCAGGCATGGAGACCTACAGCAGAGAGCCGGGAAAGGCATGGTGACATACAACAAGCAGCCAGGAGTTGGACTCTCTTTGGTAGCCCTGGCCTCCGACAGGGATATTCTCAGAAGTGCTATGTTGGGGTCCTTGTCTCTTCTGTTGTTATCAATTCGGGGAGACAACTTCTGTGAGTGCTGACATTTCCACTCCACTCCGCTTTGGAATCTTCATGGTCCACAAGAGCAGACTTCCTAA